TAGTGCTTGGTTAGCTACTTTTATTTATTCATGTTAATTTAAATGGCTAATGCTTTTCTTGGTCCTCTTTATCTCACAGCTTTGCTAGCTCAGTTTCCTCTGAGATATGTTTATTCTAAAATGAATTTGTTAAAAAAATAATAAAAATAAAATGAATTTGTTTTCTATTACCTTTAGGTTGATTTGGATGTGCGTGCCCACCTTACCAGTGTTACCACATTTGAAATTTCTGTCATCTTTAATTTTTCTTTCTAACTTCTGCCTATTTCCTGGTTGGAACACTTATTAAGATGCTCAACAGAAGTAAACATATCTGCTAAACATGCCTTGTGGCTAAATCTCTTGACATTGGAAAATAGGGAAAAGTTATGCTAGGATTCAGGAGGAACTGTCTGAGGAACAGTTTTAGAATGAACCAAAAAGCTCAAGTGGTAGGTATTCAAGCAATTTCAAGAGTGGAGCTCTCACGTGTTGGATGGTTCCATTTCACAAGCATCTTTTTTTAAAAAAAAAGATTTATTTCTTTATCTTAGAGAGCAGGGCAGGTGGGCACACTCCGAGCTAAGCATAGAGCCCGACATGGGGCTCAGTCTCATGACCCTGAGATCATGACCTGAGCTGAAACCAAGAGTCTGTCGCTTAACTCACCCAGGTGCCCCTCACAAGCGTCTCTTGAGCACGGCCTCTAGCCTGGCTGCTGTCACTGTGTCCTGGACAGGCAAAGGGCTCACAGCCTATTGTTTCTTGTCTGTCAATTCTTCTTGTCCTTTAGGGCATGAGTGGTCCAGGGGAGCAGGTGACCAGACCAAACAGCCACAATCCGAGAAAGCTGACGTGCCTGTGTGATGTTTGAGAGTGTTTCTGTAGGGAGACACAGTTCCATAAATTGCTTTTTCTTTCTGAAGTAGCATTTCCTAGTCTGTTTAGAATTAAATAATGAGAAATTATCTAGGCCAGTGGTTCTCAAAAATATGCTCACTGGTGCAGCAGCAGGATCACGTTGGATTCTGTGAGAGGTGCAAATTATCAAGCCCCATCCCAGAATTACAGAAACAGCTACTTTCGGGTGGGGCATGGCAATTGAGGTTCAACAGATCACAATCACCTGCAGGCAGGTGATTTTGTGCTGCTAAAGCTTCAGAACCAAGGCTCTAAGCCAAATCTTTCAATTCCCCTTTTTGTAAACTTCCTGCTGAGGTCCCCCATTTGTATCCTTTGATCTTCCATTCTGGAAGCTCTTTTCCTCCCTCTCTCCCAGGGCCTTGGGGTACCAGATGCACACTGCATGTCAGGAGGATGGGCTGGACCACCTGGTGAGGGCTGAAGTCCAGCAGTCCCTGCTTGCCTACATAAAGCCCAGAGGCTACGTGTACCCACGGTAGGCAACGCACTCCTCTGCAGAATTGCGATCAGCCTGGTCTTTACAGTTTCACTCCTGAAGGCCACAGTAAACTTGACCAAAGTAAAATGAGCAGAAAATCCCTCAGTCCATGAAAGTCCAAAACAATGGGGGTGGAGCTCACCTGCCAAATGCAGGTACTCACTGACTATCCAGGAATGCCCTCTGCCTGCAGGGGAGATAAAAGACAGGCTGGCAGCCCAAGGAGCTTAGAACCTAAGGGACACGTGAAAGAGACAGCGAGAGAAAGATAAATGTGACGAAGTCCCCAAATAAAGGGAAAGACCACAAGGAGAGAAGAAGGGAGAGATCAAATCCCAGGGGTCTGTAGAGATTAGATATGGCTCTAAGAGATTAGATATGGCTCTAAGAGATTAGATATGGCTCAACAAAGATAGCACCATCAACAATAATAATACCAGCAATGTGGGACTTTTTCAATTTATTTTAAGATAAAATTCACATATTATTCTTAACCATTTAATATGTGCCATTCGGTAATTATTGGTAGACTTACAAAGTTGTGCAACCACTGCTGTAATCTAATTCCAGAACATTGTCATCACCATAAAAAGAAACCCTGTCCTCAGGATTTCTCACTCCTCCTTCTCCCCACCCCCACTCCATTAGCTCCTCGCAACCACTAATCCACTTTGTGTCTTTATGGATTTGCCCATTCTGGACATTTCCAATAAATGGAATCATACTGTACACATGTGGCTTTTAGTGTCTGGCTTCTTTCACTTAACACCATGTTTCTGAGACTGCTTAATGGGTACAGGGTTCCCTTCTGGAGTAACAGAACTATTTTGGAACAAAATAGAGATCATGGTTGCAGAACACTGTGAATGCACTGTCACTTTTTTTTATGTCATTCTTTAAAAGGGTTGATTCTATGTTAAATGATCTGGACTCAATTTTTAAAAAAGAAGTAAAAAATTTCAAAGTAGAAACTCTTGACTCGGAAGCTCCAGTTTAAGAATTTCTCCTTTGGGTACACATGAATATACAGGAAATAATGTATGTACAGGGTTGATCACTGCAGCAGTGTTTGAAAGATCAGACTATTAGAAACAACCAGACGTCTATCAGTAGGGAAACAATTAAATAGGGGATGGTGCAACCAGGAAACAGAATAGCCACCAAATATGTACTATAATGTAATATAACATAATACATCATATTATATCTTTTAAAATATTTACCCTTCAATCATTTATTTATTTACTTTGAAGATCTTATTTATTTATTCATGAGAGACACAGAGAGAGAGAGAGAGAGGCAGAGACACAGGCAGAGGGAGAAGCAGGCTCCATGCAGGAGCCTGATGTGGGACTCGATTCCGGGACTCCAGGATCACACCCTGGGCCGAAGGCAGGGGCTAAACCGCTGAGCCACCCCAGGATCCCCATCATCATATTATATCTTATATATCATTATATATTAAATATAACAGTGAAAACATTAAAATATCCATTTTATACAAAATTTAAATAATACATTTATTAAAATTATAATTTACAGTAACTAAAATAAATACATGTTAAATATATTAAAAACATTATTTGAGGAAGAAAAAATAACTTTCTAAACCAAAATGACTTTGGGCATAAAGACGTAAGAGGAAGATGGGATGGGCACACGGTTGGGCCTAAAGATTTCAGGTGGAGGGAGACTGTATATAGGGTAAGAAATGAGGATTTATCCTGTAAATGACAGGCAGCCATGGAGACTTGGTCACCCTGGGGCTGGAAGGAGGAGGCTGGGAGCAGCAAGAAGCAGGGTAGGTAGAAAAAGGAGTGTGCAGGAAGCTGAGGTGTCTTGAGGAGACAGGGAGGAAGGAAGTGTTGAGGGTAGAGTGCACCTGGGCAGGCATTTTTGTTTCCTGCCAAGATGAGATCCAGAGGGTAGGGGACATGTGAGAGAGGCTGACAGCATTGGGAGTGTTCGTCTCATTTCCAGGGGCTCCGAGATGAGAAAGCTTCCAGTTTTCCAGAGGAGAAGAACATGTCCTCAAGGAAGGACAAGTGAGAACGATTGAGAAGCATAAAGAAATTAAAAATTGCACATTGTTATGTTTTGATCTTTTCCTGAATCTTATTAGATATCCTGTGTCCATGCAAGTGTGGGGGGAAGGGAATTCTTATATGGATCTCTCTGTGTGTTGGCACAGAGTTTTTGGAAAATGATTTCACATAGGTCCACATTTAAATTGTAGATGTCTTCTATCAATTCTAGCAGAAACACTTTGTACGCAAAGATATGCACAAGGATATTTTCTGAAGTATTGTTGGTAATAGTAAACACAGGAAACATTAATAGGGAAATGGTTTAAAAAAAAAACGAGTATATCCAAACTGCAGAATATTGTGCAGCAGTTAGAAAACTTAGGGTAGCGCTCCATGTGCTAATATTAAAAGATGACTATGACTTGTTAGGTGAAAAAAAAAGCAAATAATAGAATACCTATGATTTTCAATTATAGGGAAAGTCTGCAAATTCATGCACAGAAATTCTGAAAAGATGCCACTCAACTGTGGCCAGTGGTTAATTCTGGGGAGGATGGGGATTGAGAAGAATGGAAGTGCTTCAAAGGAATTATTTAAAATTTTACTTGATTAATGTACTTTGATTTTTTTTTTTTTTTACAATGGATCTATTTTGCTTCTTGAACTTCAAAAATTACTTGGGAAACATAGGGAGAGTTGACCTTACGGAGTAGTTGTGGGGATGAAAAAAGCAAATGCATGACGGTGAGCTTCATAGAACGCTACACCGATACAGAGTTGTTGCTTGTAGTGCATAGTGGGCTCCTTGAAGGCTGGCACTCTTGGCTTATCACTCCACCTGCACAGATTCACATACTTGTTCCTTCAATTTTTCACTGGAGTAGAAGTTTCAAGAAGTCAGGGCCTTGTCCGCACTACTCACCTTTATTTTCCCCAAACCCGCGACAGTGCCTGAGGTCAATACATGTTTGTTAAATTAAAAGCAAAAACTGGGACGCCCGGGTGGCTCAGCGGATGAGCACCTGCCCCGTGGGTCTCAGGACCGAGTCCCACGTCAGGCTCCCTGCTTGGAGCCTGCTTCTCCCTCTGCCTACGTCTCTGCCTCTCTGTCTCTGTGTCCTTTATGAATAAATAAATAAAATCTTAAAAAAAAAAAGACAAATTACAAAATCAACCTCTGGATACCAGACTAGTTAGAAGCCACTGCAGGATGAGATTGCAAATAACAGGTACCCGCTAGTTAGAAGATGCTCAACTGCAGGATGAGACTGCAAAGAACAGGTACCCGCTGACAGTCATTTAGTGCGTCCCCAGCGCAGCTAAAGCGGGACTATCGTTCTAGCATTAGGTCTCAAGTGGCTAAATTCTCAGGCAGGATGGGAATAGCGATCCCAGAGGTCGCCGCCTACACTTTTCGAAGGCCGGGAATCGCTCGCTCGCGTAGAGCGGCTGGGGAGGTTGCTTAGCAACCGGGCTACGGAGGCGGGCCGCACTGCGCACGCGTACACGTAGGCCCGGCGGATGCGGACGCGGCGTGCTGCGCACGCGCGGGCGGCCGCTCCGGGGCGCGACGGTTGCTAGGGCGACAGGGATACAACATGGCGGCCGGATCCTAACGCTTCCTGTCCGGGGTTAGGGACCCTGCCTTAGAGGAGTGGAAGTCAGGGTCAGGGGGTCGTCCTTTCTGCCCCTTTCTTCTCGGTCCAGTTTCGGCGAGGGCTTGTCGTCGGCTTCCGCCTCCAGGATGAAGAGTGAGCGAGGCCGGGGGGGGGGGGCTGGAGGGGCCGAGGCGGCCGCTGGGCGATTCCGGGGCCGCGGCGGGTAGGGACCCCGCGCCTCCCTGGGCGGTCGCAGCCGCTGGCGCCCCCCGGGCTCGGGGCGGGCGGGGCGGGCGGGCGGAGGCGGCGGGGGCGGCGGGGGCTCAGCGACCCCCCCAGGCCCCGCCCCCCCATATTTCAGGGCAAGGTTATGTTTGGAGTCTGGGGGGTCTTTTTGTTTTAAAATGCTGGTTTTTGAGGCTCAGATTCTTGAACATTGGGCAGGTTGCTGTGTGCCTTCCTGCCTTTTCGTGACATCGGTTTAGGGAACATTTGGGAGGAGAGCCGGGCTATTTTTTGTTTGTTTTGTTTTTAATTAATTAATTAATTAATTATTTTTATTTTTTTGGATCAAGCAGTAGTGTTTTTAGGGCTTTCTAGTAGGGATTTTGAGACAACCTTTTGGTGAAATGAGTGTTAATTGTGAAGTTGGGAAAGGAGATGGTCGTCCCGGAAAATGTGACGGGTAAAAAAATTTTCCTGTGCTTGGGTTTGTGGATTATGGGCCCTTCAAATGCAACCAACTAGAGTGGGCCTTTTTTTTTTTCCCTCCCCCTGTGAAAAGATTAATTTCGATTAGATACAGTTACAGGGTACAATTTGCATTGTACCCTAAAGTTAATTGGTAATTGATTATGGCATGTTGTGGAAGAAAGATATGTAAAAAAAAAAGAATTAATTCATCTCATTTGCCCTTTGCAAGACATTCTTATTTAATTTTTTCTTTAAAGATTGTATTTATTTATTCATGAGAGAGACACACACAGAGGCAGAGACACAGGCAGAGGGAGAAGCAGGCTCCATGCAGGGAGCCCGATGCCCACTCGATCCTGGGTCTCCAGGATCACACCCTTGGCTGAAGGCAGACGCTCAACCACTGAGCCACCCAGGCACCTCAAAATACAATATTTTAAATATAAATAAAAATAAAAGGGGGGATAGATGTACATTTATGTATTTTTTCATATATAGAGATAGATACACATTTATAAATACAGATCTATAGAGACATAAAAGAAACTAAAAGAGCAGTTGCCTCTAGGAAAGGAGCAGGGTCTAAGAGGCAAAGGTGAATAAAGGGAATGACCAAATGATCAGACCTAACTTCAACAAAACTGAGACACCCTGACATCAGGCTCTCTAGATGGGACACACTGACAGGCACATAACATCACCTCCGACGTATTTCTTGATAAAAAGATTTAATCTAAAACTTATCATGAGAAAACAGACAAATCCAAATTGAAGGACATTCTGCAAAACATAAGGCCTGAATTCTTTAAAAAGTCAAAGGCACAGAAGGCAGGAGACTGCCAAATTAAAGGAGGCCAAAGAGATATGACAACAAAATGCCCTTTGTGGTTTTTGATTGGATCCTGGGAAAAATAAAAACACCTATAATGGATGTTACTGGGGTAACTGGAAAAATCTGAAATATAGGCTGCATTCTGAATAACAGCACTATGCCAACACATTACCTGTATTGTGATTATGTAGGAGAACGTCCTTTTTCGTAACAGATATTTGCTGAATTATTAGTGGTGTAAGATACTGATGTCTACCACCAACTCTCAAAAGATTGAGTGAAAATACTGTACATAATTTAGAGAGCGCAAGTGAGCAAGCACACAAAAGGCAAAATGGTGCCTCTAAGTGAAAGGTTTATAAATATTCAATGAATTCTTGCAACTTTCATGTAGATTCAAAAAATTTCAAAATACAGTGTTGAAAAAAGGAACACAGTGAAAAAATGTGTACATAAGTTCACACTATAAAAGCGTAAAGCCTTTTGTAGGCCTTGTATTTCTAATTACAGCTTTGGGTGCATTAATGGAAAAGATAATCATGTAAACAATATCTACCAAAAGAAAATAAGAATGTCAGGGGCGCTTGGGTGGCTCAGTGGTTGAGCGTCTGCCTTTGGCTCAGGTCGGGAATGCTAGGTTATCATGTTGGGCTTTATCTTCTAGTTTTCTACATGTATTTTCTATTTTGTTTTCTAGACAATGCCTAAGTGTTTAGGAATGTATTGATCATTGATCGCCTTCTCCTTTTTGTTTTGCATTGTTGGCGGTGTAGGGAGGAGGGAGAAAAACAGTGAGTGACGTTGTTAGGAGCATGGGCTTTAGAACCAGGCAGACATGGCAGTCTCTCCTGCAGGTTACTGACCTTTCTTAAACGGATTTTCTTCATTGTTCTAACAAATCACCACAATTTAGTGGCTTAAAATAACAACATCTTCATCTCTCTCATAGTCCTGTGTGTGGCCTGGGCTCAACTAGGCGGGTCTCACTTGGAGTCTCTCATATACTCGTAGTCCTCTCAAAAGTTTCTCACTCACACGCCTGGCGAGTGATGCTGGCTGTCCCCTGGGACCGGAGCTTGGACTGTCAGCCAGAACACTACATCTCCACATGGCTTGACCTTCCTCACAGGGTGGCATTTGGGTTCTGAGGATCAGCATTCCAGGGGTGTGAGGTAGAAGCAGCATCACCTTCTCTGATATAGCATCAGAAATGTCATAGTGTCTCTTTCACCTTCCCCAGATTTGAGGGTAGAGAACGTAGATCCCACCTCTTGATGGAGTGGCAAAGACACACGCTAAGATGACTGTGTGGGATGGGATATCTAGAAGCTGCTGTCTTTAGAAAATAAAATCTTCCACACTCAGTTAAGCAGCCATAAGAGGGTTCCTGGGTGGCTCAGTTGGTTAAGCATCCAAGTCTTGATTTTGGCTCAAGTCATGATCTCAGAATTGTGAGATCCAGCCCGACACCAGACTCTGAGCTGTGCATTGTGGAGGCTGCTCAAGATTCTCTCTCTCCCTCTGCCCCTCCCTCTCAAAAAATAAACAGGCATAATAATACCTATTTTATAGGATTGTTTCAAATATTAAATGAGATCAACTATGTAAAGCTCATAGCATAGCATCTGGTAAGTGGTAAATTATAAATGAATTATTATTTGCTATCCCAGTGGATAGAAGGCAGGGGTGTAAAAGGGGAAAGAATGACTGTCAGATCCTTGTTTTGAAAAAATTTACCCTTATCTAACCTAGTGGGAGTGCCAGCATTTTACTTTGTGAACTTTTTAATGGATTATTCAAAACATACCTATAAAAAGAGAAAAAATCCTGCACATTCTGAAGGCATCACAGTTTCCTATTATATCACAGGGAATTTTTATTTTATTTTTTATTTTTTGGGGGGAATTTTTAAAATTATCTGTTGTCATTGCAGAGATTTAAGCTTTGTGTCTCTCATAAATGTATTTTTATAGAATTAAAATTGCAAGGTACCTCAGATCATCTTAATTCTCTCTCCCTGGTGCTCATCTCATCTTCTGTTTTTATAAATAGATGCATCAACTAGCAACTTTTTCTCTTTAAAACAAAGTCAGTAAAAGTAATACTGGCTTTGTAATAAATTGAAACAGTGAAAGGTTTTAAGTTAGTCTCAGGACTCTCCCCTACTCCACAGTCAATCCTGGTTAACATTTTCTTGGATGTGGGGCATTTGGGGGGCTCAGTCAGTTAAGCATCTGACTCCTTTTCGGCTAGGGTCATGATCTCAGGGTCATGGGATTGAGCCCCATATCAGGCTCTGTGTCCAGTGGGGAGTCTGCTGCTGGAGATTCTCTCTCTCCTTCTGCCTCCCCGCCCTCCCCCCCACCTGCTTGCACACTCTCACTCTCTCTCAAATAAAATCTTAAAAAAATAAGATATATTTTCTTAGATGTATTCCCATGAATTTTCTGTGCACATTCTGTGTGTACATGTGTGTATGTACATGTACGTAGGTGTGTGTATATATATATGTCTATAAATATACACATGAATATGTATTTGTCCCTTAAACAGATACCCAGAACTAAATGGAATTCTATTAAATATGTCATACTGTAACTTGCTAGGATGATTCTTCAATGAATATGTTTGAACACATTTCTTAAGTAATTCTTCACATTTATCAGTGGCTTATATTCCTAGCAGTGGACGTCATCAAAGAGAATAAGTTAAATGAAAAAATTTTATGAGTTCATGAATAATTTTATGTCCTTTTGTTTTTTCATGATGTTTGGTAATTCAAGTCACAAATTTCTTCACTATTCCAAGTAATTAATTGGGTACAGCCCTCTTCATTGAAGGTTCCTGACCTTATTTTAGTAATTTGGTTTGAATTACTTAATCTCTTAAAGAGAGTGGAAATTAGAAACTGAATCCTCTTCCTTCCAACTCTAGTTGAGAATTGTACTCCGTAATTAATCTCTGCCAATTCTTTTCATCCCTCCACTGGTGAAGCCCCCATAGCTGTTGCCTATCACCTGCCTTGATTAAGATTTAGAAGCATTACTTAAACACATATATTTGGATTTGAGCATTACAAGTGTCCCTTTTCACAAAAAGTGAATTTGACCTCCATTTTTATGCATTAAGTAAGGTTTAAATTCCACTTACACAAGACTTGATTTAATAAAAATGAATAGAATCTTAATGCAGACAGTCTCATTTACCTTCTTTCTATCCTTTCATACAGCTATCTTATTAAACTCCTCTCTGTCCTTGAGTCTGGGTGGTTTGGGGGGTGGGTTTGGTGATTGTTTATTTTGAATATATTCCCTGTAATGTGGGGTAGGATTTTTTTTTTACTAGTACAGCTCTGTACCCTTCATAGCTTTGTGTTATGCTTTGTGTACTTGTTAGTGTTCTTCATGCAACTTAAAAGGCTTGTGGAAACCTACCAGATTCTGTTGGAGAGAATGGGAAAAACCTTTTCCTAGGTGTTTTGTCCTAAGGGTGTTCCTCTTTCTCTCCCTTGCCTTTCATTCTTGTTTTATACTTGAAAGAGTCATAGGGTAAATAAGAGACCCTTTATTCACCATGGCCATTTCCAGAGCCACGGGTTCCATTTGTCACTTGCTCTTTGTGTTGTCTG